CAGTGACTCCTTAAATGGCCCCTGATAGCCCAGCTACAGGAGAGGAAACTGGATCCTCGTCTGCCCTGAGCATCGACGAGATTGCTGCCCTTGCCAGTCCCAAAGTCACCGCCGGGACAGGGATAATAGCACAGGGGAGCCACACAGACACTCCAATCTCAAGCAGAGTTTGTGCAGGTGGCAAAACTCTTTTTTTGATTTGCAAAAGAGGATACTCAGGGATAGGGGTACACTCACAGCCAAGAGTCAGGAAACACTCCATCTCTCAACCATGCAGGCGAGAACAACCACCCATCTCCGAGCAGTTGGGTTAGTAAACCCCAGGAATGTGGCAGGGAAAGGACAGTTCCTCTATCATGTCCTGCATCATTTTTACCATCATTTTTCAGCCCCCAAATTAAAGGTTTCCCTGTTCCAAGTGCTGCAAACTCACCTTCATTATCATAGGAACCGGCAACAGACCGGGAGATGTACCCGGGCACAACTGCAATCATAGCGGCAGCAAGGAGTCCTGCCCCTGCGTCCTGGGAAAATAAAAATCACAGCCAGAGGGTGGAAAGAGCCATTGGTTTTTAGGGTTTTTGTTATCCCTACACATGGATATGCCTTGAAAGACTAAAAATTGAGTGTTGAAATTAAATTTTGAAACAGATCTCCCATTTCGCTGAAGTTCTGGGTTTTGAGCAGCATGCTGGTCACCTCCAAAGCTCTGATACAGCCACGAGCTGCCTTTCCAAAAGGGACACAGCCCGTCCTCCTCCGCAAAGCAAAAGCCTGCAAGGGCAAATGCCAGGTGCTGCACTTGGGCCACAACAACCTCCAGCAGTGTTACAGGCTTGGGGAGGAGAGGCTGGAGAGCTGCCAGTCAGAGAGGGACCTGGGGTGGGGATTGATAATGAGCCAGCAGTGTGCCCAGGGGGCCAAGAAGGCCAATGGCATCCTGGCTTGTGTCAGCACTGGCGTGGCCAGCAGGGACAGGGAAGGGATCTGAGCCCTGGGCTCGGCACTGGTGAGGCCGCCCCTCGATGAGTGGGTTCAGTTTTGGGCCCCTCACCCCAAAAAGGCCATTGAGTGACTCGAGCGTGGCCAGAGAAGGGCAACGGAGCTGGGGCAGGGTCTGAAGCACAGGTCTGCTGGGGAGCGGCTGGGGGAACTGGGGGGGTTCAGTCTGGAGAAGAGGAGGCTGAGGGGAGACCTCCTGGCCCTCTGCAATTCCCGGCCAAGAGGGTGCAGAGAGGGGGGATGAGTCTCTGGAGCCAAGGAGCCAGCGCCAGGCCCCGAGGGAATGGCCTCAAGCTGCCCAGGGCAGGGTCAGGCTGGCTCTGAGGAAGGATTTCTGTGCAGAAGGGGCTGTTGGGCGTTGGAATGGGCTGCCCAGGGCAGGGGGGAGTCCCCGGGATCCCTGGAGGGGTTGAAGAGTCGGGTTGAGCCAGCGCTGAGGGACCTGGTGGAGTTGAGAACTGTCACTGTTATGTTAATGGTTGGACTCAATGATCTTCAAAGTCTTTTCCAACCGAGATGATTCTGTGATTCTGTGAATGTCCTGAGCGTCTCCTCACCTTGAGCTCTTTGGTGAGGTGGTAAGTCACTATGGTGGTGAAAGAGGAGAAGAGGGGAGCCAGGAACACGCAGACATTTCGGATGTCGATGGTGATGTGGAAGAAGTGCAGCACGTGGTAAATTGCTGCCGACGTAATCATCAGCCCTGTGGGACAGAAACAACACTGTTCTCAGGGTGCTCTCGCTCTGCTTGCAGCACCGGGGGTTGTCAGCTTGCAATTAACAGCAGGACATCCAAAAGCGTCTCCAGGAAGGAGCTTCTGCCCACGATGCCCGGATGAAGGGCATCTCTGGAGCTCCCCTCCCAGCAGGCACTCATGGCTCTGCTCCTGTACACTACCCGCCCCTCTCCCCATTTTCCCTTGCACAAGGTGCGTTTTGGCTCTGCAGAAGCCAAGAGCTCACCTGGATAAATGGTCCCACCGATAATCCTCCCCAAGGGGTACCACGCTCGGTCATCAAACCAGTTGTGGAATTTATAGAAGCCCTCCTCTGCCAGAAAGCGGGTTGTGCGGTAGTTAAAGTACCTGGAATGGCAACAAGCACTAAACATCCCCGCATCTGGAGACAGAGATATCGACTGCTTGCCGCTCCTTGGGTCACGGCCGCAGCCCGCCACGCGCGCTCAGGAAACGAGGCAGCTTTTGAGAGGCATTAAGCACCAAGTTGTGTGCCTGATACTTTTACCTGAGGTTTAGGGCTACAACAGCACCATGAGGGCTGACCACGTGCTTTCCATGCGGAGGGAACTAGGCCAATTTCTCTAGACAGCCATAAACCTCAGCTGCAAGGCTTCATCCCTCTTCTTCGGGGGTTTGCAAAGGTAATGTTCTCCCTTGCGCCCAATTTAATCAGAAACAAGCCTGGGTTGTTTGTGGACACAAGTTGTACTAGGAGCCCTCTCTCCTGCTGTGCCCTGCTCAGGCAGAGAATAACCACACCCCAGCAGCAAAGTGGTGGCGGGCAATTACTTCCAGGCTGCAGAAAGAGTTCTGGGTACTGAAAAGTGAATTTTGGGTCTGGAAGAGGAAAATCTAGCTGTATTGAAAACTGCCCTCCAAATCCCTCATCCTCAGTGGGGATTAACTAAGCCTGGCATAAACTGCCCCAATTTTGCGTGCTCCAGAAGAGAAAAACCCAGCAGGCCCCCACGAAATGAAACGATGACACTTACGGGTCAAATTCATGGATGACGCTTTCGAATCTTAAAACAGAAAAAAGCCTCGTGGAGAAAGCTGCAAATGCAGAAAAAGGGCAGAGTGAATCTACAGCACTCACCGAGCCAGAGTTATGTTAGGTTTATCTACCTCCTTGCTGGATTAAAATTTTTTCTGTCTTAAACTGGTCATTGGAAACACAAAAAAAGATGCAGTTTTCAAAAGAAAAGGTACAGAAGGAATAAGAGTGTTCACTGAAGACTTGCTTTAAAAACAGATGAGAGCTTTGCAACCTATAGAAAAGGAGGAGCAGAGAAGGCTCCATCCCAGGGTCCCCCGCTGAGGGCACCAAGCAGCCAGGCCAGCGCAGCAGGACGCGGACTTACACAGCACAGCTGCCATCGACAGGATGAGGAGCTTGAGCAGCGTGTCTTGCTTCTCATAGGACAGCCGGAGAAACCCTAACTTGGTCATTTTCACATCAAAGGCAGGTTGAGGACGCTTGAACACCTGAAAAACAAAGAGGGAAGACAGTCAAAGACCGAGCTGGTTCACAGCCCCATGATATCTCTAAATGTATCAAGAAAATACCTTAAATACCCAACCCCTGCCCAGGGAGCCTGGCGTCCACCCTTCACCCCCACCAGGAGCTTTCACTGATGTGTCTCCTTTCCCAAATTCCTGCCTCCCATCCTCACCTGATCAGCTGCCCCAAGCCTTGATTGAAGTTTTTCTTTCTTTTACAGAGACCAGAACGTCTTCGGGGCAGAGAACGGATCTGTTTCTCTGCATACAAAACAAAACCCAAGTGTAAACCTTCAGCAAACCCACTAAATTTTTCCTGGCTGGTCTCTGGAGTTTAACCACCACCTGTAAACAATGCACAGAAAAATAATTCATGGAAAACACAAAAAACTGGTGCTGTTTTCTCACATACAGTGGGCCCAAACAGCTCCTGGCTGTTCCCACCTTAAATTATTTACGTTAAACATATAAATCCCAGTGGTCTGTCAGCACAGACCAGCAGAGTAAATCAGCTTTGCTTACACTGGACAATTCATCTGTTTAATTCAAGCTCCCTGGGTGGAGGAAGAGCCAGTGAAATCCTGATACTAGAGACTAAGGAAATGAAACTGTGGCCAGCAAATAACATCTTTCCACCCCTGAAAACACTCTGATTTCTTTACCCAATCAATCTGGTAAAAACCTCCCACCACGCCCTGCAGGTTCAGTCTCAGAACTGGTGGATAAATCCTCAGTTCACATCTCTAAGCTACAACACGAGGGAGAGAAGATTTGGACAGGCAGAGATTTAAAAATAAAATACAACCGGGCCTGAAAAAAATCTTTCTGTAACCTAGAAGCGATTCCAACTTGCACACACTCGTCACTAATTGTTACAGAAATAACCCCATGTTGTAATTATTTCCTGGTTTCCCTGGGGATAATAAGAAGCAGCTAACAATGACAGAACACAGATGCCTCCCGGGCACGAGCGGCTCTGACCCGCGGGGTACCACCGGGGTACCCCGATCTCCACAGCGCTGGCAGACCGCTCACGGGGTGCTGGGGAGACATTTGCCACCCAGTAATGCCACAACTACTGGGGGAAGCAGCAGCCCCTGGCCAGCCCCCAGATACTGGGGTGGGAAGGAGGAAACGCTGTCCCTGGGCTACAAACTGCAGCCGGGCTCTTGCCACCAGCCCCTGAGGTTGTCAGTAGCCTGTAAGACACCGTGCCCCCCCGAGCCCCGCTGTGCTGCACACCACAGCCCCGCACCCCACCACTCCACAACGCCTGGGCATCCCGCAGGCCCCGGCACCCCCAAACCCCACAGAGCCACATCCTAAAGGCTCCAGCCGCTGACAATCAGCAGCACCTCACCCCGCACACCGGGGCACCCCACAGCAGCACCCACCCCGAACCCCACGATGCTACAGGCACCCCGTAAGCCCACAGCTCCCTCCTCCCACAGCCCTGGACACCCCACAGCCCCGCACTCCACAGAATGGACACCCCGCAACCCCACAGCTCCCTCCTCCCACAGCCCCGGACACCCCCAACCCGACAGGTCCCCGCCCCACAGCCCTGGGCACCCCTAATCCCACAGATCCCAGAGCCCCGGGCACGCCACA